GGGACTACTGTACTTTAAAATTCATGAACTCTTTTAGATTATGGCATCCACGTTGATATTCACTGTTCAAACTTGTGAAACTCTGCTCCTTTTGGTCCCTGTCCTCCAAGGTCATCGCCATCGTGATGGACGTGTTTACTGACGTGGACATATTCAAAGAAACTGTGGAAGCTTCTTTACGAGGAGTCCCCGTTTACATCCTTCTGGATGATTCCCATTTGAAAAGTTTCCTTAAAATGACTGAAGATCAAGAAATCAACCTAAAGCACTTAAGGGTAAGTCTTGTATTTAAACTATATTAATTAATTAATTAATTCATTCATTCATTCAAAGAATAATATAATCTTGACTGAGCGTTTTGGTTATTTTAAGATGGATACAGTTGGAAAAAAATTGTCTGATATAAACATTTTAATGTGTTTTGTTTTTCATTCCATATTTCTTGAGAATGTCAGTTGAAGGTGTAAATCCTCTGGGTTTTTTTTGTAAAGCAAAAGCGTTTTTATTTTATTATATATTTATGGATTTGTTTCCTCATCTTGAATGGGCAGAGTTGAATTTTTGGCATGACAGTCTTAAGTTTCGAACACACCCTAATTGTTTTTATTAAATGCAAACTAGATGGCAACAACAGCAACAAACTGTTGGCACAACATTCTGCACAATACAGAAGCTCTATGGGATGTTTATTTTTTGACTTACGTACTTATTATTTTTGATATTTAACAATGACATGATCCTTTCACTGTTTCGGAAACAGAAAATGAGGGTGCGCACCGTGAAGGGTTCGGAGTACCTCTGTCGATCAGGAGCCAAATTTCATGGAGCAATGAAGCAGACGTTTGTTTTAATCGACTGCCACAAGGCCATTTATGGCTCATACAGGTAAATAATACTGCAGTAGAGCAGGGTAAGCGCTGAGGTGTGAACAAAACGCTTTGAATAAAGCACTGCATTTGTTGTCATTCTAAAAACTGCAGAAATTATTTCTTACTGAAGAGAACAGGTTGTGACAAGAACAGTTACCAGTTTAAAAAGAAATAATTTCTTTTCAAAGGTTAAACATTTGGGCGTAACTCCAACACAAAGAGCTGCTTGTTAAGATAGTCAATTGTTTTTAATCACAGTTAAATCAAATTAATAATTATTTTTATGTTAACAGCTTCTCCTGGTCTTTTGAGAAGATCCACCTGAGCATGGTTCAGGTCATCTCCGGTCATCTAGTGAAGTCCTATGATGAGGAGTTTCGGACGCTCTATGCCCATTCGACTGTTCCGGCTGAACTGAGCCCTCCAGAGGGCTGTAAGAGTCTGTCTTACAGCAATGGACTTCCCACACAACAAAAGACCCCATCTTCTCATTCTGCTATAAAACTTGGGCGGAATAACCAGTTGAGGCAATCCTTGGACTTCATCAATCGGAAAACCAATGAACGGAAATTTGGCACCAGAGAAATAAAAGAGGAAGGTAACATGCTCGGGCCTTTAGTTGAAAATAATATCAGTCTTCCTCATCAAATGCCCCAGTTTCACCAGATTGAATCTGAACCTTTTAATATGTTTAAAAGGCACAGCTATGCTGGTGAAAGACAAGAAGGAAACACTCCGCACATCATTAGACCCAGAGGGAGCAACTGGAACATAACCAAAGATACAGGAAATGTCCTGAATAACTACTCTATGGATAATTATTTGCTAACACCACAGAAATACAGAGGTCATAACATGCGGCAGTCTTATAACGGCATTGACAAACAGGCACTCTGCTTGCAGCAGAACATACCAACACTGGAGAATACATCTAAGGCATTTATGCGCACGTGGAGGATCGAATCTTACCTTAAAAACCCAGAGGCTCCATCTCCAGATGCTTTTGACTACTTAGACCAGTATGAGACTCAAGACAATACGAGTGCCTTAATGCAAGGAAGGATGAGGACCTCTCTTGTTCTCAGGTCCCCAATACCAGAACAAATGGAGCCAAACAGACGCATGATCAACACTTCTGCTGTTGCCGGCCTCTCAGCAGCCCACAACTCTTCTTTGCACTACTCTTCAATGCAATGGGATACTGCTGCAGAAGCTGGGAACAGATTTAACTCTCATGACTTCATATCAAAGAAACAAAGTCTGCAGATTTTGGATGATTTTCAAGACAAAGCGAGCTATGGCACAGGAGGAAACTCCTTCCACCCTACATATGCCAGCCTGGGCAGACCTAAGCTTGGACAGATAATGACAAACCCTGACACCCTGAAAGAAGATTGGCACAAAAGGCACAGTGTGGCAGATCCACGGTCAAACACTGCGCATACACATGAATACTTGGGTCACATGTATGGAAATGCTACAAGGACACAAGTAAACAGAAGCTCAGCAGAGCTTAGTGCACAGGCTGTAAGCTGTAGATCAAGTCTGAATGAAGATCAGAGATCTGTCTCCCACTATGACGTCAAGAGTATCAAAGACACGCAAGACCCTAATAATCCTATTTGGCAGGAACCACCATCCAGGACAGTGTCTGCAGCAGCCCTGGACCTTAAAACAAAAGATTTGACCAATAAATCTAACAACTCTCAGCAATATTTAAAGACCAGTACCAAGAAAATCAAATCTTTGTTAAACATACCGGAGAAAAGAGAGAGCTCCATCATAACCAGTGAAACGCCAAGTCTGAATTCAGGTGGCAGCTCCGACACCATCACCGCTGAGGATGAAGAGGGGAAAACGTACGGTAAAAAAATTAGTCCTCAAGCTATACACCAAACAAGCAGTTCTGTCAAGGTCTCATCAAAATTTCCAAAGCCTCATTTCAAAAGCGAGAAAACCCAAATCTCACCGCAGAACTCTCTCACCAAAATGCCCTCATGGAAGAAACCCTCCATTCTCGAGAAAAGCTCAAAGCCCGGAGCTGGCAATCAATCGAACATCACGTGCGATTCATTCTCTTCGTTTGAAAAGAAAAGCACTCGGCCTACCAGTTTTAGGCGCTCTCAGTCTCAGGACAAATCCAAAAGCAGTTCTAAAGACGATGCAGCTGCTGAACACATTAGTCGAACTGCTCGGGGCCATCATGAAAACAAGCTGGAGAGATTCTTTCAAAGGGTGGGAAGTTTTATAAACAAGAACAAATAGTGAGCGCCACTTCAGCAGGACACAATTTACACAGGTCATATTTGACTTGTTTCTGTGTGGCACTGGTCTTTCGTGGATCTACAGAGTTTACATTTGAGCTTACGCTTTTTGTTTTGCACTCAGATGCATTGCCTCTGAAAAAGGAGAATATTTTGTACTAATACAAAATGCACATTGTCTTTACATAGATTTTTAAAAGACCATCTTTAATTGTAGTTTTGTCACCACTGGTTTCCCCTTCCATAATCAGAAGCTTTCAAATCATGTTTGGAATGGCTGATTATTGCTTTCAATTTTTAAATATGTAATAATATGCACTTTTTTGTTATTACTGTACATATGTGGGCTGTGCATACCTAAGTGCTTTTATTATGGGATGTAGATAGTTGACAGCAACTCAAGCTGGCGATCACACCCTTTGATTCTGTCAATTGTGTTCCAGAAAAAGTTTTACAATTTTTATGCAGGCTATGGTTCTGTTGCAGAACACATCTCTTGGGTACTTTCTTGGACATTTTTACACGAGTTTTCTTAAGTTTAATAAAAACTGCACTTTTTAAAAAGCTGTTCTTTTCAATGGACATTTAAAGGACATGTGTGGTATTCCATGAGGAAATCTCGAGTAGCAGAGTTAGACTGGTGCAGGACATGTATGAGGACAGCAGGGCAGTGGTGAGATGTGCTGTAGGAGTGACAGATAGCTTCAAGGTGGAGGTGGGAGTGCATCAAGGATCGGCTCTGAGCCCCTTCTTGTTTGCACTGGTGATGGACTGACTAACAGATGAGGTCAGGCAGGAATCCCCATGGACTATGATGTTTGCAGATGACATTGTGATCTGTGGTGAGAACAGGGAACTGGTGGAAGATAACTTGGAGAGGTGGAGGTATGCACTTGAAAGAAGAGGAATGAAAGTCAGCTGTAGTAAGACAGAGTACATGTGTGTGGATGAGACGGAGGCTGGTGGAACAGTGAGACTACAAGGAGCAGAGGTCACAAAGGTGTAGGACTTCAAGTACTTGGGGTCCACTGTCCTGGAAAAAGGGGAGTGTGGTAAAGAAGTGAAAAAGAGAGTCCAGGCAGGATTGAGTGGATGGAGAAAAGTTTCAGGAGTGATTTGCGACAAAAGTATGTCAGTTAAGGTCAAAGGAAAAGTTTACAAGACAGTGGTGAGATCAGCTCTGTTGTATGGTCTGGAGACAGTGGTACAGAGAAAAAGACAGGAGAAAGAACTGGAAATGGTAAAAATGAAGATGATGAGGTTCTCCTTAGGAGTGACAAGGATGGATAAGATTAGGAATGAGATCATCAGAGGTACAGCACAGGTTGAACAACTGGGCGATAAAGTTAGAGAGAGCAGACTGAGACAGTTTGGACATGTCCAGAGGAGGGACAGTGGGTATATTGGTAGAAGGATGTTAGAAATGCAGCTGCCAGGAAAAAGACAAAGAGTCGATATATGGATGCAGTTTGAGAGGACATGGAGGTAGATGGAGTGAGGACAGAGGATGCAGAGGACAGAGTGAGATGGAGGAGGATGACTCGCTGTAGCGACCCCTGAAGAGGGAAAAGCTGAAAGAAGTAGTTCTCTTAAAAGGACATTAATAAAAGATTTGTTTTATTTCCAGAATTTTATTTCCTAAGGTAAAAGTTAAATTTCTGTAAGGAAAAATAAAGCAGTACTTGTGGCTACTGAAGCTACTCACATTTCCATTTTTTGGGGGATCCAAACTAAACAGTATCCAACATTTCAACTGTGATGATCTATTTACTAAGGTGGTCTCTCACTTTCATTGGAAAGACCAACATTATCTCTGGGTGCTTTTCTAGTCTGAGGCAATGTTCTTTTTAACAACTGTACTGCAAGGAGCTGCAACAAACATCACTCTAGTGAACACTGACTGTAAATGGTGTCTGGAAAACATACCCTTTTTGTTCAGTCAGTTGGGTATTACCTGTATAGTAAACAGAATGAGTCGATTAATTCAGTGTTTTCTTTATTTTGCACACAAGTAATTTCTTTCTAAATTACTAATAGGAGCAAAATCCATGTTGGTAGGTCAAGAAATATCCCACATATTTTTTTTTATTAATCAATAGACGAAGGGTTTAAACCACTAAAGTTAAAGCATCATCCTTCATGTGTATTAAATAATGTACAATGTAGCATTTCTTTGAATACAAAAATTCAAACAAGGGTTTTTACATCGTAATGTTTGTGCTGAGGCTGTAATTTACTATTTGAAGTGAAGTTTTAATAAGGTTAATACAAATTGCATTCTGGCCTATTAAAAATACTTCACAGACTATTGGTGGTTTAAAATCTGCATTAAATTGTTTAAATTAATTGAATTTCAAGTGCTTTTATTTAAAATATGGAAACATTTCATGGTGTTTTTCCACCAAGCCATATCACATTTAAAAAGGAATAGTTTAAAACTTTCAAAATAAAATTTTCTGTGCTTGTTAGGCTGTTTGGTAACACTAAATTTCTGTAGGTGAGAGAGTGAATGATTGTTTGTCTCATTTGTCTCTGTGTCCCAGTGATGGACTGGAGACCTGTCCAGGGTGTCCCCCACCTCTTGCACAGTGACCCTCGCAACCTGAAAAGGAAGAAGCAGATAAAAATAATGGATGGATGGATTTTTTTTTAAACAAAAATGATGTATGATAAGAGAGCTGCTGCCTCTCAGCGCGCAGGTCCCTGGTTCAAATCCTGGTCCGGGGGCCTTTCTGGGTGGCGTTTGCATGTTCTCTCCGTGCATGCGTGGGTTTTCTCCGGGTACTCCGGTTTCCTCCCACAGAACAAAAACATGCATGTTAGGCTGATTGGTAACTCTAAATTGTCTCTAGGTGTGAATGAGGGAGTGAATGGTTGTTTGTCTCGTTTGTCTCTATGTGTCCCTGTGATGGACTTGCGACCCGTCCAGGGTGTACCCCGTCCCTCGCACAGTGACTGCTGGACATGGGCACCAGCGACACCTGTGACCCAAAATGGAAGAAGCTGGTAAAAGATAATATATGGATGGACGATAAGGCAAAAATCAAAGTTGATTGTTGTCCAAAACCAACTCCAGTCTCACAACCTTGATAGTGGTTTTTGTGAAAGCTGAATATAAACCTTTGTACGGTCATCAGTTTAATGTCACCCGCTTCAAATGTTATCAGCCATTAAATGGCCATTATTAGTTGTCATCATCTCCATATGTAGCGGTCAGTCTGCCCCTCCTGTACCTCCTAGTGGGTTTAAAGGTACATTGTTAGCGATGATAATAGGCTCTGTTTTTAGCTTTGTTAGTGCTCATAATAGCTTCACGTGGTTAGGTTTACAGTAAAAGGTCTGGCGGTTAGGTTTAGGGTCTTGGTTAGGTTTCGGCACAAGGGTAAGGGGGTTAAGTTTATGGTTGGTCCTCTGGGTCACGTGTAAGCTTACGCTTAGGAAAAGGTTACAAGCTGAAAAAAAAAACCACTTCCTGGTTTACCCCCGTGTGATGCTGTCTATTATCAGCAATAATAACGATAATAACGTACCTTTAAACCTACTAGGAGGTAGATGGGGCAGTTTCACCGCTACATATGGGGATGATAACAACTAATAACGGCCATTTAATGGACTGCTAACATCCGAAGACGCTCCTAATGTTATATATTTTTCTGGGAGAAATGTTCCTTCTGAAGTTCCCCAGTCTGTTCTAAAAGTGCTACAAACAACTGCTGCTACTGATATTCACTCTTGAAACCCCTCAAAGAGCTATGTAAACAACTGAGAAATTGGAATGAACTGTGATGCAAAGGTTAAAAGCACGAACTGCTGTAAAATGCATTATTTATATTATATTTGTTTTAAAATGGCAGCAATTCACTTTGGTCTTGGCCTTACTCATGCTTGTGAATAACTTATGATCAGAATTAAACTCTTTCTTCTAAGGGGCCGCTGTGGTGTAGAGGTAGGGTAGCTGACTTGGGACCAGAAAGTCGCAGACTCAACTCTCCACTATGCTCACAAGCTGTGGTGTCCTTGAGCAAAACATTAGATCCACAGTTGCTCCCCCGGTGACCACATAGCTGCTCCATCTGGGTGTATCTCACGTGTGACGGGTTAAATGCAGAGAATTTCATCATTGTATAGAAACATGCAAAGATGACAACACATAGTAATTTATTCTTCTTCTGATTAAACTTATCCAAAGAGCTATCTACAACAGGTAAGATATTATATATATGATATACTCTCCAGGGACTCCGCTTAAAAAGATTTGGACTATTGCTTTAAGGCTCCATCCTATTCTGTGACTGGGTGGAGCTAAAAAACAAACGAACAAACAAACAAACAATTCACAAACAACTTTTTTTTATTATATACTGGTACTTCTAGTGGGACAGTTAATTCATAGAGCATAAAAATGATTTAGAAGGCTGCAGGTATCAAAAATGTACATATAAAATTAAAGACGAAAAACAAAAATGACTGATATAAGTAACATGTAGGTTAATTGTTCACTCTAAATTGTGAGTGAGAGAGTGAATGGTTGTCTCATTTATCTCTGTGTCCCTGTGATGGACTGGAGACCTGCCAGGGTGTCCCCCGCCTCTCGCACAGTGATGGCTGGACATGGTGACCCCCGCAAAAGGAAGAAGTGGGTAAAGGTAACGGATAGATGGATGGATTAAATTGTTAAAACATTAATATTTACTGCTTTACATGCCCACAATGTTGGAACATGTATTACACATAAACCTCATACAACTATATTGATCATTTTTGTTATTACTTTTAAATAGATTATTTAAAATCTAGTGGTATTGTTGGAAAATTCAGCTGAAATGATTTCACAGAAATGGAAATTTAATAGAAAACATCAAGTTTGATCATCCAAAAGTTAAGCTCACCTTTTATTTAAATCGTTTTGAGTTGTGAAAGCAGCAGCAAAACATCTGTATAACCTGCCTCTGCATGCCAACCTTAGCAGTAACAACTTGAAATTAACATAAACTGTATAACTTTGTTTTGCAAATGAGTTGGAGTCAATACTTGTAAA